CTTCACATGCCAGAGAACATACTGTGGAAACTACTCCAAGCCTGCATTAAAGAGGCACCCTTCTTGAGCCCAGAAGGGCACATGTATACGCAAGTAGATGGGGTCGAAATGGGTTCTCCCTTAGGTGTCCTGTTTGCGAACTTCTACATGGGCACCATCGAGCAGAGAGTCTTAGTTTACATGGATTTGAAACCCGCTATGTACTGCAGGTATATTGACGACATTTTTATGAAGGTACCTGATGCCAGATGTCTGCAGCAGCTGAAGGAGACATTTGAGCGGAATTCTGTATTGAGTTTCACTTAATAGATGGAGAATAATGGGAAGCTGCCCTTTCTGGATGTAACAGTCATGGAAAGGAGCGGAGGCTTCCACACTGCAGGCTACACTAAAGAAGCAAACATAGGAATGTGCCTCAATGCCAATAGTGATTTCCCAGACAGGTACAAGAGGAGTGTTGTCAATGCTTATGTCGACCGTGCTCTCAGCCACAGCTCAGGATGGAAGCAAGTCGATGAAGAACTCTGTAGGGTAAAGCAGGTTCTAGTCAACAACGGCTTCTCTAACGGTTTCATTGAAGACATCATAAAAAGAAAGGTGAAACGCCATGCAACCTCTGATGAGTCAACCAACACAACACAACACTTGTACCCCCTATTAGACTATTTTACAGGAACTTCTTTTCGACGGCTCATAAAATGGAGGAAAGGGTCCTGAAAGATATTGTTGATAGGAACGTTATCCCTACACACAAAAATCAGAAAATACAATTGATAATATATTATAAAACCAAAAAAACGGCCAATCTACTCATAAAAAACTCCCCAGAAACCAAGCAGAACGCTCTGAAGGAAACCAACGTCGTCTATGCCTTTAAATGCCCGCTTGGGGACTGTAAGCCCAAAAGAACTCAGTATATAGACAAGACAAAAACGTCTCTTTCCAGGCGACTTACAATGCATAAACAACAGGGCACCATCAAGGAACATAGAATCTCTTCTCAAAACCAGACCATCACCAGAGAAATCTTAACAAATAACACAGAAATCATCGATAGGTACAGATATAGCAGGCGGCTTGACATCAGCAAGGCACTACACATCAAAAAGTTTACACCAGCAATCAACAGCCAAATAATGCACAACTTTATTCTACCCATTTCAAGGAACAGTATGGGCCAATAGGCCCTCTATAGTTACTTTCATTCTTATGTACCCACCTTACCCAATACCCACCTCACCCAATACCCACCTCATCGAAAACCAATAAAAAGCAAGAGTTATGTCAAATGTTTCATTCAAAGTGTATCAAGTGTAACATAAGTGTAGTGTTAAGGGTAAACAAGTCTTTGAGAATATAAGAAGCCCTTACAAAACGCTTCTAGCCGTCAGACCATTAATAAAAATTAATTAATTAAAAAAAAATAAAATCCCTCCCTATCCAGGCAACTGAGACATTGAGGGATCATTCACGTTTTCCATCAAGCCCTGTTATATGGGAAAACATGGTGTCCATGCTTAATGCACTGACGAATTAGCAAATTTGTTAAACATGAACGGCCATTTGTAAAACCATGCTGTGACTCGTTTATTAATTTATGTTTTACAAGATGAAGACTTTTTCACTTTTTCAAGTAACTTTCCCACAATTGACGTTAGGCTAATTGGCCGATAGTTTGATGCAAGTGATCTATCTCCTTTCTTAAAAATTGGTACCACATTTGCAACCTTCCATGACTCTGGCACTCTGCCTGACTCTAATGATTTATTACATCTGTTATACAATGGCTCGCCAAGCACCCCTTTGCATTCTTTAGGCACCCTGGCAAACACTTCATCCGGCCCTGGGGATTTGTTTGGTTTGAGTTTTACTATTTGTTTAATAATATCATCCCTGGTAACTGTTAGACTAGTCAACCTGTCCTCGTCCCCACCCACATAGACTTGTTTGGTTGAAGGCATAGAGTTCAGTTCTTCTTTAGTAAATACAGAGACAAAATATTTATTAAAAATACTACTCATCTCTTTGTCATTATGCGTTATCTGGCCTGTCTCGGTTTTTAATGGACCTATCCTTTCCCTAAAAGAAAAACACCAGGTGTCTTGTTACTAACGCTTTGATTAATAAACTCCCAGTGACCTTTTTGCCTTATTACGAACATTCATGCATTGATCCTTTGGTTTTAAATTTTTACTAATCATAATACTGGGAACACTTCTACTGAAGAAATGATATGTATGCTCGGGATGAGGTGCTCTATCGAGGGCTGGGGTTGTTGTTGTTGTTGCAAACTCGTTGGAACCTGTGGTTGGAGGCGTTTGTTTGGGTTTAAACTGTTAGCAGATAGTAGTATGGGAATTGATATGGAGGAAGGAGGTAATAAAAGTATGTGTTTGTGGGAAAAAGAAATTTGCAAAATGATCAGGGAAAGAGTAGGGCCTCAAATTAACAATACACTTAGGGTATATTACAATAACAGCAGAAGTGTAAGAAACAAAATAAACGAATTAAATGCTCTTATCTGTACAGAAAAAATATATATTATTGCACTTACTGAAACGTGGATGAATGTAGAAAATAGAGAACTATTAGCTGAGTATCAAAAAATGGATTTAAACTATTTCACACAGATAGACATATTAGACGAGGAGGGGGAGTAGCCATATATGTTAGGGACAATTTGAAATGTAGTCTCAAAGAGGGAATCAAAACTGAGCCACACACAGAAACTATTTGGATAGAATTAAACGAAAAAGCAAATAATCTTATAATAGGAGTTATATATAGGTCACCAAATTTAGACAGAATGGAAGCAAAGCTTCTATGGGATGAAATATCTAGAGCATCTAGGTCTAAAAGCATTTGTCTCATGGGTGACTTTAATTTTAGAGGAATAAACTGGATTAACAGAATAGGGAATAACGAAGCAGAAGATTTTCTAGAATTAATTGACGATTGCTTTCTTACTCAACACATTAAGGAACCAAAGCGGGAAAATAATATTTTAGATTTAGTGTTTACTAACAGGGAAACACATATTAATGACATCGAAATCGGGAGTGAACTAGGGGAACAGTGATCACAAAGAAATCAGATTTAGCATTGAGTGGAATAGAATAGTCCTGGTCACGTGGTCCACACGAGGCAGAGTTGAACTGGGCGCCGATTCTAACATCGATTCGGAATTCATCATTACCGTGTAATTTATTCCACACTCAAGGTCATCGGTTATAGTGGGGATCAAGCCCCAAGGTTGATTAATTAGCATGATCGATCCAGACCTCGATTATTGCTCTGTGTTGCTGGTCTGGTGGTGGCGGCGGAGGCGACTCTAGGGTTTTGCTCAAAGCCTAGGTCACGTCATACTGGTTGTAGAATCCTAAGTCGGTCAATCGTCTTAGGACCACGTGGCGTGGAGTTGGCTTTGGTAAAAGTTTTGGAGTCCCTTGTAGAGAATAAAAAGTAAGAATACGGGTAGAGGGGGGAAAAGAAGAAGGAAAGATAAGTAGAGAAACCCTCCCCGGGTTACAATAAGGCTCAAAGGTCACTGGGATTTATTAATCGAAGCGTTAGTAACAAGACACCTGGTGTTATTCTTCAGACATCTCGCTCTGGTTAAGCCCCATTTAGATTATGCAGTTCAGTTTTGTTCGCCTTAGTATAAAATGGATATAAATTCACTTGATCGTGTCCAGCGTAGGATGACAAAGTTAATACCCCAAATTAGAAACCTGTCAAATGACGAGAGGTTAACAAATCTTAATATTTAACCTCAAAATATTCAAAAGCAATATTTAAAGCTGATGCGAATCAGACATTTGTCGGTCAATACTCTGTATTCTCTCCTTTGTTTCAAATGAATGGGAGGTAAGCTGTTTCATTTATTACTACGCTCAACAGTGTACTGTGCCTGCACACGTAACGTTCCAGTCCAACAAAGTACTGTGCCTGCACTCTCAACGTTCCTATACAACAGTGCACTGTGCCTGTTCTCTCTATGTTCCTATACAACAGTGTACTGTGCTTGCACTCTCTACGTTCCAGTACAACAGCGTACTGTGCCTGCACCATTAACGTTCCTTTATGACAGTGTACTGTGCCTGCACCATTAACGTTCCTTTACGACAGTGTACTGTGCCTGCAAACTAAACATTCCTATACAACAGTGTACTGTGCCTGAACTCTTAACGTTCCTTTACAACATTGTACTGTGCCTTCTCTTTTAACGTTCCTGTACAACAGTGTACTGTGCCTGCTCTCTTAATGTTCCTGTACAACAATGTACATCGCGTGCTCTCTCAACGTTCATGTAGAAAAGTGTACTGTGCCTGCTCTCTCAACGGTCCTGTACAAAATTGTACTGTGCCTGCACTCTTAACGTTCCAGTACAAAAGTGTCATGTGCCTGCTCTATTCCTATTCAATAGAGTACTGTGTCTGCACTCTTAACGTTCCTATACAACAGTGTACTGTACCTGCACTCTTAACGTTCTTATACAACAGTGTACTGTGCCTGCACTATTAACGTTCCTATGCAACAGTGTACTGTGCATGCACCATTGACGTTCCTTTGCAATAGTGTACTGTGCATGCACCATTGACGTTCCTATGCGACAGTGTACTGCGCCTAAACTCAATACGTTTCCACGCAACAGTGTACTGTGCTTGCACCATTAACGTTCCTATACGACAGTGTACTGTACCTGCACCAATAATGTTTCTTTACGACAGTGTACTGTGCCAGCAATCTTAACATTCCTATATAACAGTGTACTGTGCCTGCTCTCTTAACGTTCCCATAGAAAAATGTACTGTGCCTGCTCTCTTAACGTTCCCATAGAAAAGTGTACTGTGCTTGCTCTCTTAACGTTCCCATGCAACAGTGTACTGTGCTTGCTCATTCAACATTCCTATACAACAGCGTAATGTGCCTGCTATTCTCAACGTTCCTGTTAAGAACCAAATTATGAAGAATAATAGAAAAATTATTTGACAACTTACTAAGACGGCCGGAATGTTGAGGCTGTATGATAGTGGCACTTGTCACGTGGGCCAGGACCATGAGCCACACCTGCCACACCGGCCACACTGGCCACACCGGCCACACCAGTTGTGACATTCCTCTTCTTCTATTAATGTTCTCACTCCTACACGCTCCGTCCTGGTATTCGCTGACCGCTCCGTCCTGCAGACGATGCAACACCGTTTTATTGGATATGACGCTTGGTTGTGAGAGGATGTTTACGGGTGCTGAGGTCAGGCGCTGTGGGTCTGGTGCTAAGGTCAGGCGCTGTGGGTCTGGTGCTGAGGTCAGGCGCTGTGGGTCTGGTGCTGAGGTCAGGCGCTGTGGGTCTGGTGCTGAGGTCAGGCGCTGTGGGTCTGGTGCTGAGGTCAGGCGCTGTGGGTCTGGTGCTAAGGTCAGGCGCTGTGGGTCTGGTGCTGAGGTCAGGCGCTGTGGGTCTGGTGCTGAGGTCAGGCGCTGTGGGTCTGGTGCTGAGGTCAGGCGCTGTGGGTCTGGTGCTGAGGTCAGGCGCTGTGGGTCTGGTGCTGAGGTCAGGCGCTGTGGGTCTGGTGCTGAGGTCAGGAGCTGTGGGTCTGGTGCTGAGGTCAGGAGCTGTGGGTCTGGTGCTGAGGTCAGGAGCTGTGGGTCTGTTGCTGAAGTCAGGCGCTGTGGGTCTGGTGCTGAGGTCAGGAGCTGTGGGTCTGGTGCTGAGGTCAGGCGCTGTGGGTCTGGTGCTGAGGTCAGGCGCTGTGGGTCTGGTGCTGAGGTCAGGCGCTGTGGGTCTGGTGCTGAGGTCAGGCGCTGTGGGTCTGGTGCTGAGGTCAGGAGCTGTGGGTCTGGTGCTGAGGTCAGGAGCTGTGGGTCTGGTGCTGAGGTCAGGAGATGTGGGTCTGGTGCTGAGGTCAGGCGCTGTGGGTCTGGTGCTGAGGTCAGGCGCTGTGGGTCTGGTGCTGAGGTCAAGCGCTGTGGGTCTGGTGCTGAGGTCAGGCGCTGTGGGTCTGGTGCTGAGGTCAGGCGCTGTGGGTCTGGTGCTGAGGTCAGGCGCTGTGGGTCTGGTGCTGAGGTCAGGAGCTGTGGGTCTGGTGCTGAGGTCAGGCGCTGTGGGTCTGATGCTGGGGTGTGGCGGGTGTGTCAGGGGGGTGTGGCGGGTGTGTCAGTGGGGGTGTAGCGGGTGTGTCAGGGGGGTGTGGCGGGTGTGTCAGGGGGGTGTGGCGTGTGTGTCAGGGGAGTGTGTCAGGGGGTGTGGCGGGTGTGTCAGGGGGGTGTGGCGGGTGTGTCAGGGGGGTGTGGCGGGTGTGTCAGGGGGGTGTGGCGGGTGTGTCAGGGGGGTGTGGCGTGTGTGTCAGGGGGGTGTGTCAGGGGGTGTGGCGGGTGTGTCAGGGGGGTGTGGCGGGTGTGTCAGGGGGGTGTGGCGGGTGTGTCAGGGGGGTGTGGCGGGTGTGTCAGGGGGGTGTGGCGGGTGTGTCAGGGGGGTGTGGCGGGTGTGTCAGGGGGGTGTGGCGGGTGTGTCAGGGGGGTGTGGCGTGTGTGTCAGGGGGGTGTGTCAGGGGGTGTGGCGGGTGTGTCAGGGGGGTGTGTCAGGGGGGTGTGGCGGGTGTGTCAGGGGGGTGTGGCGGGTGTGTCAGGGGGGTGTGGCGGGTGTGTCAGGGGGTGCAGCCGGTGTGTCAAGGGGTGTGTCAATGGGTGTGGCGGGTGTGTCAGGGGGTGTGGCGGGTGTGTCAGGGGGGAAGTGGCGGGTGTGTCAGGGGGGTGTGGCGGGTGTGTCAGAGGGGTGTGGCGGGTGTGTCAGGGGGGGGTGTCAGGGGGGTGTGGCGGGTGTGTCAAGGGGTGCAGCGGGTGGGTCAAGGGGTGTGGCGGGTGTGTCAAGGGGTGTGGCGGGTGTGTCAGGGGGGTGTGGCGGGTGTGTCAGGGGGAGTGTGGCAGGTGTGTCAGGGGGGTGTGGCGGGTGTGTCAGGGGGGTGTGGCGGAAGTGTCAGGGGGTGCAGCGGGTGTGTCAAGGGGTGTGGCGGGTGTGGCGGGTGTGGCGGGTGTGTCTAGGGGTGTGGCGGGTGTGTCAGGGGGGTGTGGCGGGTGTGTCAGGGGGGTGTGGCGGGTGTGTCAGGGGGTGCAGCGGGTATGTCAAGGGGTGTGGCGGGTGTGTCAAGGGGTGTGGCGGGTGTGTCAAGGGGTGTGGCGGGTGTGTCAGAGGGGTGTGGCGGGTGTGTCAGGGGGGATGTGGCAGGTGTGTCAGGGGGGTGTGGCGGGTGTATCAGGGGGGGTGTGTCAAGGGGGTGTGTCAGGGGGTGCAGCGGGTGTGTCAAGGGGTGTGGCGGGTGTGTCAGGGGGGTGTGGCGGGTGTGTCAGGGGGAGTGTGGCGGGTGTGTCAGGGGGGTGTGGCGGATGTGTCAGGGGGGTGTGGTGGGTGTGTCAGGGGGTGCGGCGGGTGTGTCAAGGGGTGTGGCGGGTGTGTCAGGGGGTGTGGCGGGTGTCTCAGGGGGGTTTGGCGGGTGTGTTAGGGGGGGTGTGGCGGGTGTGTCAGGGGGGTGTGGCGGGTGTGACAGGGGGGGTGTGGCGGGTGTGTCAGGGGGGTGTTGCATGTGTGTCAGGAGGGTGTGGCGGGTGTGTCAGGGGGTGTGGCGGGTGTGTCAAGGGCTGTGGCGGGTGTGTCAGGGGGTGTGGCGGGTGTGTCAGGGGGTGTGGCGGGTGTGTCAGGGGGGTGTTGCATGTGTGTCAGGAGGGTGTGGCGGGTGTGTCAGGGGGTGTGGCGGGTGTGTCAAGGGCTGTGGCGGGTGTGTCAGGGGGTGTGGCGGGTGTGTCAGGGGGTGTGGCGGGTGTGTCAGGGGGGTGTGGCGGGTGTGTCAGGGGGTGTGGCGGGTGTGTCAGGGGGTGTGGCGGGTGTGTCAGGGGGGTTTGGCGGGTGTGTCAGGGGGGTAAGGCGGGTGTGTCAGGGGGGGTGTGGCGGGTGTATCAGGGGGGTGTGGCGGAAGTGTCAGGGGGTGCAGCGGGTGTGTCAAGGGGTGTGGCGGGTGTGGCGGGTGTGGCGGGTGTGTCTAGGGGTGTGGCGGGTGTGTCAGGGGGGTGTGGCGGGTGTGTCAGGGGGGTGTGGCGGGTGTGTCAGGGGGTGCAGCGGGTATGTCAAGGGGTGTGGCGGGTGTGTCAAGGGGTGTGGCGGGTGTGTCAAGGGGTGTGGCGGGTGTGTCAGAGGGGTGTGGCGGGTGTGTCAGGGGGGATGTGGCAGGTGTGTCAGGGGGGTGTGGCGGGTGTATCAGGGGGGGTGTGTCAAGGGGGTGTGTCAGGGGGTGCAGCGGGTGTGTCAAGGGGTGTGGCGGGTGTGTCAGGGGGGTGTGGCGGGTGTGTCAGGGGGAGTGTGGCGGGTGTGTCAGGGGGGTGTGGCGGAAGTGTCAGGGGGTGCAGCGGGTGTGTCAAGGGGTGTGGCGGGTGTGGCGGGTGTGGCGGGTGTGTCTAGGGGTGTGGCGGGTGTGTCAGGGGGGTGTGGCGGGTGTGTCAGGGGGGTGTGGCGGGTGTGTCAGGGGGTGCAGCGGGTATGTCAAGGGGTGTGGCGGGTGTGTCAAGGGGTGTGGCGGGTGTGTCAAGGGGTGTGGCGGGTGTGTCAGAGGGGTGTGGCGGGTGTGTCAGGGGGGATGTGGCAGGTGTGTCAGGGGGGTGTGGCGGGTGTATCAGGGGGGGTGTGTCAAGGGGGTGTGTCAGGGGGTGCAGCGGGTGTGTCAAGGGGTGTGGCGGGTGTGTCAGGGGGGTGTGGCGGGTGTGTCAGGGGGAGTGTGGCGGGTGTGTCAGGGGGGTGTGGCGGATGTGTCAGGGGGGTGTGGTGGGTGTGTCAGGGGGTGCGGCGGGTGTGTCAAGGGGTGTGGCGGGTGTGTCAGGGGGTGTGGCGGGTGTCTCAGGGGGGTTTGGCGGGTGTGTTAGGGGGGGTGTGGCGGGTGTGTCAGGGGGGTGTGGCGGGTGTGACAGGGGGGGTGTGGCGGGTGTGTCAGGGGGGTGTGGCGGATGTGTCAGGGGGGTGTTGCATGTGTGTCAGGAGGGTGTGGCGGGTGTGTCAGGGGGTGTGGCGGGTGTGTCAAGGGCTGTGGCGGGTGTGTCAGGGGGTGTGGCGGGTGTGTCAGGGGGTGTGGCGGGTGTGTCAGGGGGGTGTGGCGGGTGTGTCAGGGGGTGTGGCGGGTGTGTCAGGGGGTGTGGCGGGTGTGTCAGGGGGGTTTGGCGGGTGTGTCAGGGGGGTAAGGCGGGTGTGTCAGGGGGGGTGTGGCGGGTGTATCAGGGGGGGTGTGGCGGGTGTCAGGGGGGTGTGGCAGGTGTGTCAGGAGGGTGTGGCGGGTGTGTCAGGGGATGTGGCGGGTGTGTCAGGGGGTGTGGCGGGTGTGTCAGGGGTGTCAGGGGATGTGGCGGGTGTGTCAGGGGGTGTGGCGGGTGTGTCAGGGGGGTGTGGCGGGTGTGTCAGGGGATGTGGCGGGTGTGTCAGGGGGTGTGGCGGGTGTGTCAGGGGTGTCAGGGGATGTGGCGGGTGTGTCAGGGGATGTGGCGGGTGCGTCAGGGGGTGTGGCGGGTGTGGGGGGTGTGGCGGGTGTGTCAGGGGGAGTGGCGGGTGTGTCAAGGGGAGTGGCGGGTGTGTCAGAGGGGTGTGGCGGGTGTGTCAGGAGGTGTGGCGGGTGTGTCAGGGGGGTGTGGCGGGTGTGTCAGGGGGTGCAGCGGGTATGTCAAGGGGTGTGGCGGGTGTGTCAAGGGGTGTGGCGGGTGTGTCAAGGGGTGTGGCAGGTGTGTCAGAGGGGTGTGGCGGGTGTGTCAGGGGGATGTGGCAGGTGTGTCAGGGGGGTGTGGCGGGTGTATCAGGGGGGGTGTGTCAAGGGGGTGTGGCGGGTGTGTCAGGGGGTGCAGCGGGTGTGTCAAGGGGTGTGGCGGGTGTGTCAGGGGGGTGTGGCGGGTGTGTCAGGGGGAGTGTGGCGGGTGTGTCAGGGGGGGGGGTGTGGCGGATGTGTCAGGGGGGTGTGGTGGGTGTGTCAGGGGGTGTGTCAGGGGGTGTGGCGGGTGTGTCAGGGGGTGCGGCGGGTGTGTCAAGGGGTGTGGCGGGTGTGTCAGGGGGTGTGGCGGGTGTCTCAGGGGGGTTTGGCGGGTGTGTTAGGGGGGGTGTGGCGGGTGTGGCGGGTGTGACAGGGGGGGTGTGGCGGGTGTGTCGGGGGTGTGGCGGATGTGTC